TAACTAAGAACAGCTTTGGAGCTCTAAGCCCCAAAAATCGTGAACGTGAATCAGAAAGCTGACCGGTTGCCATGTCTACTACTGTCCTGAATAGCACACCATTCTGCAAACTAGCATTTAGGAAAAGACTAGCAGGATGATCAGCACCGTCCTCTCCACCAATTGATACCAGAAGCTCGAGGAAGAGGAGGGATAAAGGAGGTGAGAAAACACTCTGTATACTCAACACTTGCATACAGTCATCTGGATCCAATGACAGGATAAGAATAGTACTGTCATAAGATCCTACTGCTAAAAAGCGGGATCTTTGTCTTCCTTTTGGGACCAGGGAAATATCAAAACAAGCCACATCTCCGAGCATTTCATGCTTCTCTACTTCCATTAACTGACCAGTCATGTCCAACTCAAAGTATATAAGCTCTCTCCCGCTCAATTCAATGACAGCTTGAAGCCTATTATACCCCACCTTTACAATTGTCTTCTTTCCCGGGGTTCTCCATTCGTTGATACGCCCATCTTCCCTAACGTGCCTAATACCACTAGGATGAACTTGCATCGGAAAGTCATTACCAATCAAAGATATAGCAAGAGAAGGTTTAGTATCTAGAAACCCGCTATCTGTAACTTCTTCAATTGTCTCACCAATCGAAAGTACAAGAGTAACACTAGCAAAGGAGACCACAATATAAGCATCAAATTCATCATTGACACCAATAAAATTACCGATAGAGTAAAGCAAATAAAATGGGAAACCAAAAACTACTACTACATTCTTTCATAAGTCAAATAGAAAAAAGTTAGGCCAATATATAGCCTTTATCAAGCAAAACTAATTAGCTAGAAATAAGAAATTAACAAATAGAGTGGATAGACATGGTCCAGTCTTAACTCTAACTCAACTAACTACTGACTTAGTCTAAAAACAAATACTAACGTTGCTTACTATTATTTAGGCACTAAAATAGCAACTAATTAATTAATGTTTGAAGCATAGTCAAACACACCCTCTTGCTTCAAACACACAGACTCCAAAAAGCTTGCGAAAGTAGGAATGTTTGGGCTGAAGAAGAGCCTTGGTCAGAATGTCTGCAGCTTGCTCATTTGTTGGACAATATTGCAAATCTAACTCCCTTTTTGCTGTGAGGCTATGGATGAAGTGATAACGGATGTCGATGTGCTTTGTTCTACTATTAGAAACTGGATTCTTGGTCAGTGCAATGGCTGCATTGTTATCACAAAATAATTTTGTAGCACCATCTTGTTTATGATGTATATCAGCAAGTAGACGTCGCAACCAAACCGCTTCACTTGCTGCAGAACCCACAGCAACATATTCAGCCTCCGATGAAGATAATGCCACCACATCTTGCTTTTTTGAACTCCAAGAAACTGCTCCCGAAACCAAACTGAAGACATGACCTGAAGTGCTCTTTCTTTCATCTACACAACCGGCCCAATCACTATCACTGTATCCATGTAATCTGAAATTTGCATCCTTGGAATACCAAATCCCATACTCAATTGTTCCAGCAATATAACGAAGTACTCTCTTTGCTGCACCTAAATGTTGCCTTTATGCATGTACCTTGACAACACACTTATAGAATACATGATATCAGGACGAGTATGTGTCAGGTAATTTAGTCCACCAATAAGACTTCTGTAAAAGTTTCCATTTGCAGCTTGTGTACCATCCTCAGCCTGTAATTTTTCACTAGCATTCATTGGGGTAGCTACAGCCTTGCAATTATGCATCCCAAACCTGAACAGAAGATCTCTACCGTACTTTCTTTGTGAAACAAATATACCATCATCTACTTGTTTCACCTCAAGACCAAGAAATATTGTAGTCTTCCCAAATATGACATCTCAAACTCAGTTTGCATACTAGTCTTAAATTCAGCAACAAGACTATCGGAAGACCCAAAATAAATCATGTCATCAACATAAATGCAAACAACCAAGAACTCACCATTTTCATGCATTTTCACATTTAAAGTGGGTTCATTTTCACTCCTAACAAACCCATGCTGCAAAAAGTAAGAGTCAATTCTCTTATACCACGCTCTCGGTGCCTGTTTTAGCCCATAAAGGGCCTTTTTCAGTTTATACACCTTGTTATCATTTCCTCTAACAATAAAAACAGCAGGTTGTGACATAAACTTCCTCCTCTAGCTCCTCATTTAAAAAAGCAGACTTCACATCAATGTGATAGACAGGAAGATTTAGTTTAGCAGCTAGACATAAAAGAATTCTCACCGTTTCAAAACGAGCAACGGGTGAGAAAGTTTCATCAAAGTCAATACCTTGATGTTGAGCGTAACCTTTTGCCACGAGCCTAGCTTTAAACTTCTGTATACTTCCATCAGCATGACGCTTGATCTTGGAAACCCACTTCAGACTGATGATACAATATATATAATAATCATATATATTCCATTTAACAACGTCATAACACTTCCCTTAGCAAATTTTATTAGCAATTAGCAAATAATCCTACGTAATATACATGGAATCATGAAAGACACTCATAAAACGAAAGTACCTTCATAGTAACACTCCTTTATCTACAATACAATTAAAACATAATCAACTACAAAAATATCAATAAAACCATGTGATTTACATCACGAGAAACCACCATGACTTCCGTTAAATTGCTGCGTGCGCATCATGATTAATAATGTACTACCTCTAAATCTTATTACTTGCGAACAAAATTTTTTTTGTCTCACTGATAATATTCTTTTATTGTAAATAATAAAAAAACAAAGTTAATACTATATACGAAGTAGTAATTTTTGTTCTTTCCTATTTGCTTACCTACCACCTCATCGTCCATTCTTATACATGTCATTCGCAATATAGGATTGTCACATATTCTCATATGTGTTAATCGCTATGTAGGATCGTGACGCATATTATTTTTGTTGCAATTTATGAACATTAGAATTTCATCGTAACATTGCGCTGCTATTTGGATTGCCTTTATTAACTTGTATTTGTATTAATTCACCAATTTGGATAATTGGATTAGCTAGCTAGTTTTATATTAATCGCTGTGTAAGATCGTGACACATATTTTTTTGTTGCAATTTATGAACTTTAGAATTTTCATCTTTACATTGTTATTTGGATTGCCTTTATTAACTTGTATTTGTATTAATTCACCAATTTGGATAATTGAATTCGCTAGCTAGTTTTATAATTATATGAAATCATTGTAAGAAAATATTACTTTAGTCAATTATTATCATAATGCATGTGTAATATTTATTTATAGTAAGTATAAGATGCACTACTTGATAGAAGTATTACAGCTTTAGTCAATCAATATTATCATAATAAATGCATGTGTGATTATGCCTTTTATACTTTTATACTTTTATACAAAGTATTTCAAAAAGGAAAAATTGTCAAAAATAATACAAATTTTGAGCGATCCGTAAAAAACAGGTCAATCTTTCAATTATATCTGAATAATACAAACTTTAAATGGTATCCGCTTTAAACAAGTTATTTTACCTACAACCTATTTGACCGGTTAATTTTTTTTTTGCCAAATTAGAAAATAACACCTAATAAAACATCATATTTTGATTATAACACCTAAACATTTCAAAGTTTTATTATAACACCTGCTAAAAAATTAAAATTTTGTTTTCACCACCTAAATGGTTATGACGTTAGAGGATCTATTAGTTGGGCCCACTGCAACGGCTATTTTTTTCAAAGTGCTTTATATATTTACGATATCCTTCACAAACGGTGAACTGTTGATCTGGTTACACAAAATTAGGCTTCACATTTTGCGAATTCTACAATCAAATTGCCGAAATTGTTTGAATTCAACATCATTGTTCGAGGGAGGAAGATTTGAAATCAGGTAATTACGTCAATAGCACTGCAGAAACCCCTAATTCATCTTTCTTTAATGAGGTGTAAATCAATCTATGTTGTTGAATTAAGTGCATAATTCAGTTCGCATGTGGTACTAATCATGTAATTCGTACATATTTAGGGTTCATTGTGTGTTAATTGTCCTCTAATTTGCGAAAAAAATGAAATTAGGGTTCATCGGAACCATAAATTGGGGGTTTTAATTTGTAGGACTGATTGTTTAATTCCCTTGGTTCAATTGTATTGCCTTTCAAAGTAGGAATGGTTTTACTTATTGTGGATGGCGTATTGGTGCAGGAGATGTCTTTCATAAGTTCCTCTCCTTCAAAGGAGAAGAATTGCAAGTGTGGTGTTCCCTTTACGAAGCTTACTAGTTGGACAAGGGAGAACCCTGGTCAGAAGTTTAGAACATGCAAGTTCTATGATCGTGTAACTGAGAGTAGAGGTTGTAAAGCATTTGAATGGGTGGATGAACAAGATGGGACAGCCTGGCAAACACAGGTGATCAACAATTTATTGTTAGATAAGAAGCTGTTGAAGGGAAAAATTAGTGACTACAAAAGGGAAGTTGATGATCTTGGTGGACAGATGAGGTGTTTGCTCAATGAAGTGGACAGGCTGAAGATGAAATGCAAGGCTTTAAACTCTGACAGGAAGAAGATGAACAGAGAGATGCATGGAAGAAATGCAAGATCAGAGCATTCTGTTCTTTGTGTTGCTTTTGGGATTAGTTTGGTCATATTAGTGATGCTAGTTATTGGGGGGTTTGTAATGCTTAAAGTGTAATTTGTCCTAAGGCATGAACATTAATAGTAATGCTTTTGTAATGGTTTATAAGTGGCAGTGAACCACTTTTGCAAACTAATGTACACATATTTGGAAGGAATGATTTAAACAAGTACCTAAAAAGTTGATATTGCATTGAAGTAATTGAGCAAATTAGTTGCATTGCTTAACCAAATTGGCAGTTAAAGCCTAACACCAAAGCATAAATTTAACAAAATAAGCTCCTTTAGCCTAAAACCAAAACTTATAGTTCAGAAAAATTAAATGTTCAAAGTATCAACCTAAAACTTAAGTTCAGAAAAACAACAGCAAGATCATTGAGTCAAATTTGCATGTTTGGAACTTAGCAGCTTAGCCCTCCTTATCTGCACTCCAGTGTGCTGAACTTTGTCTTTGTTTGTGGGTTCAGGTTGACTGGAAGAGGGGGTGCTATGTTGCTTGGCTTTTGGCTGGCCTTGTTGACTTTGTGAACCTTTCCTCTTACTCAATGGTTCACAGCCTGGTTGCTCTTGGGGAAAAGTCTTGTTCCCAATGCTGCTTGGACCAGCCCCTACTGCACTCTATGTTTAAAACACAAATAAACAAGTATCAACATCCAATTGCATCACAAAATATAAAATAAAGTGAACAAGTCCCACAGGATACCTTCTTAGCAGCTCTGATCTCACTCTTCTTCCTTTGCTCAACCACCCATGGTGAGTTTAAAGGGGGCCTTCCTGCAGATCTCTGGTCAGTTGGTTCAGGTACATGTGGGACCTTGCAAGTCTTGGGATAGTGGCCAAATCCACCACAGTTCCTGCACTGACTCCTCCTTCTCTTCCATCCCTGCTCCCCTCCTGTTGCAGATGTTCCCTCACCAGGTTCCAGCTTCCTTTTCTTCTGTTTTGGTCTTCCAAGCTGCACTTTGAAGGTTGGTGGTTGAGGCTCTGTCATGTTCACTCTCTCCCAGTTCTTTGGGCTTGGCATTGGTTGAATTGCAGGTCCATATACTGCTCTATAACTGTCCATAGTGTAATAGGGGTGGACAAACTGCTCAGCATCCATTCTTTGATCCATTATGCATGCAAAGGCATGAACACATGGGATGCCTGTTAATTGCCAATGATTGCAGGAACAAGTCCAATTCCCCAAGTCCACTAGAACCTGGTCATCATTCAGTTGCACTTCAAAAGTGTCATGCCAGGTAGCTTCCACAATGCAATTCCTTGAGACATAGCTCATCCTTTGAAACAACTTATGCACATATGGAGTCATGTTGCTTGTGATTTCCTTGGAGTCCTCCCACTTCTCATTATTTCTCCTCATCATGTACCTCCTCATCCATTCCATTTGGGTGAGGATAGGTTTGTCTCTTGCATCTCTAATAACTGAGTTGAAAGTCTCACACATGTTGTTTAGTAACATGTTGGTCTTGCAACTGTCACTGAATGCATGTCTACACCAGTGATGAGTGGGGTTTTGTCCAAGTAATCATAAGCCTTCTCATCAAGCTCCCTAATCTGTTGCATTGGTATCTGATACCTAGGCTACAAACACAAAAAGACCAGTGTTTAGTAAATTTGTTCATAACAATGTAAGCTACACAACAAGACATTGTTCAATAAATTAGTTCATAACACCCTAAGTTCATAACACCCTAAGTTCATAACACCCTGGTATTTGTTGAATTGCAAGTTCATAACAATCTAAGCTTACTAAATCCAATTCAATTTCATTGTTTTAACTCCTCAAAATCATCTAAGCTAAGCTGCAGACTTACAAGTGTTGTTGCTCTTGCAGCACTCCAAAAGAGCTCTTTGAAAACTGATCAAGTGAACTTCAGCTTGAAATTTGCCCAAATGTGCCTAATATAGAACCTTGTCTCTACATTTGGCACAAGTTCAGATAGAGCTTCACCAGTCCCTGTTTAACAGCATCAAAAAACAGTTACCACACTTCACAGAATAAAGAACTGGACACAATAAAGACTGGAAAAAAACAAGAAATTTTACCTTCTGCCTGTCTGACATGAAGGTGAAGCCTGACCCATCTGCACTCCCAAGGCTCTGCATCAGGGATTCCATAAACCGAACCCAAGTCTCCCTGTTTTCAACCTCACATGTTGACCAAGCAATAGGGAAAATGATGTTGTTCCCATCTTTGGACACTGCAACCAAAATCTGGCCTGGGTAAGCTCCTTTCAAGTGGCAGCCATCCACCCCAATGATTGGCCTACAACCCTTTAAGAACCCATCTTTCAAAGGCCTCAAACAAATAAACATTCTCATAAACAAGGGAGGCTCAGGCTGGTCAATGCCATCTACCACCATATTACAACCAGACCCTAGGTTGTATTTCATTACAGCCTTCCCATAATCCTAGACCCTTGCATATTGCTCTCCTGCTGAACCAAAAATGATCAACTTAGCTCTACACCTTGCCATCCAAGCCCTGTAGTAGGTCACTTCAACCCCCAGGTCTTGCAGCACCCTACCCCTGATTTGCTTAACCTTCCATGTTGGGTTAGTTCTGAACTCCTCAAGGTACCTCTCTGCAATGAACTTTACAGTGACCTTCTTGTTCTCCCTGCTTCTCACACATCTATGCTCTAACTTCATTGTTTTTATTTGCCAAGTCTGCTGTCTAACTAACTTAGTAGCATGGATCTCGAAATTGCACTTCACTCCACCCTTGCATATACACAAAGGCATTCTACTTGTCTTTGTGTCAAACTTATAGCCACATCTATTCCTACACTGAATAGTAATCCTACTACTATCATTGTGCAAAAAATAGTACTCATACCTATTATCTATGGCATGCAGTCTAAGAGCTTTCCTCAAAATAGTGACATTGCTGAACTTAAGCCTATTAACAAGTACAACAGGCTTACTGAAGTCAGTTTTCTCATTAAACCAAGGACTGTTGTCCTCTTCATCTGATGAACCATCCAAGCTCCTTAGCTCATCTGATTCTCCCTCAATTTCTTCTTGCACTTGAACCTCACTCACATCCAAGTTCTCTGTCAACCTTGACCTAGGATCCTTGGCAACCCCCTGCTCATGTACACCAAACTGCTTCCCAAGACTTCTTGTTACCTTCTCTAAAATCTCTTTATAATTCTTGACAAACCACCTCTCATCCCCATTGTCATACTCCTCCTCTCCAGGCTCCCAAGTTATGTCAATCTCACTCCCATCAGTAGAAGAATACTCATCCTCACTCCCAGCCTCACTGCTATCCTCAAAAACCAATCCTTTAGCCACATATTTCTTTTTCCCCTTCTCCTTATCCAACACCTTCTCACTACCAGAAACCCTTTCAAGCTTACCGTTCTCCTTATCTAACACCTTCACACTACCAGAAACCCTTTCAAACATAGCTTTACCTTTCCCCTTATCCAACAACTTCCCTTTACCAAAAACCCCCTCACTCTTAGCAGAAACCCCTTCATTCCATCCTATCCCCTTAACCTTTTCCTGTCTAGATCTAGGTTTAGGAGAATCTTCCCTTTCACTGACATCAGGGTCAGTTTTGTTAAATCTTGGGCTCCTCCTAACTGGAACAGTCTTTCCTGAACTTTTCTTCCCTTTTCTATCAGCCTTTTTTGGAGTGGACTGGGCCTAGACCTCATGTATGGGCCTTAAAGGTTCATCTGTAGTCACAAAAACTTCAACAGACCCTTCCTCACTGACTGTCTCTAACAGCCCCTTCACTTCCTCTTCATTTACTATTTCCCTCCTCCTTGTGTTAAAGGTCCTATCTTTTTGTTTATACCACAGTCTGTAGTTTGGAGGGACATGGACATTATAATGCACAAACCCATGCACAACAGCTTCCCTTAGATATTGTACATGTATCTTATTCACTACCACATCCCTCCTCCAATAACATAACCCACCACACCAGCAAAACAAATGTCTTGATTTTGACACTCTTTTGGGAACAAAAGCACCCCCAACTCTGAATACTATATCAATTAATCCTTCTTGGTTGTTGGCCATTTATCTACCCAATAAACAGATGCAAAGTAAGTCAACAAAAGCTAACATATCTTACCCCATTACATAGTCAAACGCACTACTTTAATCAACAAAAACAAACATATTTAAACCAAAACAAGGACAAACCAATCAACAGGTCACCAAAATCAATGAATTCAAGTAAATAATAAACCAATTACACCAATTCATACTTCAATTAATCACATTCTACTTTAATTACAAGTTCGCACAGTACACAAAGTAAATCACACCCAATTATACTAGTCTTAGGGTTCCTACTTTTACCCTACATTCCCCACGAAAATGGCATAATGCACATCATCAGATGCTGAAAACTAATTTAAAAGGTTCAAAAGGTACCTGTTTTGGAATCTTACTGCTGTTGTTGACGAAAAAATTCAAGCTTTTTGGATGTTAAAAATGGCAAACAAAGTCTCGCGGAGTTGTTTCGTTCCAATACTGACACCTCCCCTTGCAATTCAATTTCTCAACCACTCAAATCACCCTAGGGTTTGATTGTGGACAGTAATTTTGGATGTTCAGTATTAACAGACTAAATTCAATGAAGGAGAGTAGTTGGGTCATCAATGGGAGGAGAGATAATCGAATTAAAGACGATGAAATTTGGAGGGTAAACTAATTTGTGGGGCCTACACACATTTGCCGTTATCTGGTGGTGAAACCAAAATTTTTATTTTTTTACCAGGTGTTTTAATAAAACTTTGAAATGTTTAGGTGTTATAATCAAAATATGGTGTTTTAACAGATGTTATTTTCTAATTTGGCCTTTTTTTTATTTTTGTTTATAAACTTGTTTAACAGCTTAATTGAATCCTAATTAAAATTTTAGTTATGGTTAATGTTTAACAAAATTAATCAACCCCTCCCCACCAACAACACCCCTACCCCGTTGACCGGCCGACACCCAGCCTTCCCTCGCCAGCGACCCCATTCAAACAACTCCACCCCTCCCTTCCTTTCCCACCACCCTCACTCAATTGCCACCACCACCTTTACCTTCACCTCAACCCGATAGTCCCAACCACCTCTCCTTTTCCCACTACAACCCTCCCTCTCTCTCCTACGCAGCTCCGCCCATACCCAAACCAGCGAGCCCGACCCAAACCCCATACCCCTACCAGCGACAGACTGACCCACTCATGCCTAATCCCGATCGACCTGCAAAGCCCTACCCAGCCCCAAATCCACTATCCTCGGCGGCTTGTAGAACCTATCCAACCCACTCGCTCACCGTTCGACGAACCTTAGCCAAACCCCCCAACCCTTTCCGAATCAGGTTCAGCGAGAAGGGTTTCGAGTGAGGATTGCGAAAGGGGGTGGGGGATTGCAAAAGGGGGTTGCGGGAAAGAAAGGTAGTGGAGTTGAAGTAGGGGGTCTCCGGAGGCCGGTGAGGGAGAGAGGAGTGCCGGCGGGAAGGAGGTGAACAACTGGTGGGTGGATTTTTTTTAATAATAATAAAAAAAGTAAAATAAAATTAATATTATTTATATCTTTAAAAAAATTAAAAACATTAAATAAATTTTAAAAAATAATAATTAAACTGACAAACCAATAAAACAATGCCACGTGTCTCATATGACCTGTTAACCAGGTAACTAACCGGTTTTAACTTGTTTAAAGCAGATACCTCTCAAAGTTTGTATTATTCAGAAATAATTAAAAGATTGACTTGTTTTTGGCGGACCGCTCAAAGTTTGTATTATTTTTGACAATTTTTCCTTTCAAAAATGTAGGATAAACTATTTAATTTTGCCAAAAAATATAATAGAAAAAGCTCTCTTAGTCTCTTCATCCAACCTCATTTGTATAGTATAATTTTGAATAAGGTTAAGGTATTGTGAATAGAGTAAGGAAAATCTAACACGACGACACGAATTGAAGATGAAAAAATTGGGTTTATGTCAAGGGTTATCAACATGTTTAATTAAAATGGTCATCACATAACATGAGACATTTAATTAAATAGACCGAGTTAGTTTGAAATTCCCACCAAAGTTTACACATTCCAAATCACCTAAGAAAAAAACTATTATTCGAAAATTGATTAACAAGCCTAATACTTTTTTCATATAACACGGCACAAATTATTGATACATTACTTAAATTTGGATATTATCTTGTATATTATATTGCAAATAGTATGAGTTAACTATGTGCAATATAATATTTACGTAGTTACACGTAATTTGTTACTTTATAAATAATTTAATGTAATTTGTTAATACGTAAATAAGTTTAATATTATTTGTTTTAAATAATTTTATTTCAACAATAATACCGATAGATTACTTAAGCTTAAATTCAGTAATATATTATATAAATATATTAAAGTTACCGTATTAATCATATGAACATTAAAAAAAAACATATAATAATTATTTCATT